CCGATTGCATAACCGCGTTCTAGCTGATAGAAAGTCAATTAGCTGAACGTTTTAAACTGAGTATACAACTTGGACGGGAAAATGCTAAAACATTAGTTTTAAATGGGACGCCGGTCAACATCAAAATGTTATCTCAGATTACGTTTCGATAAGTAACAAATCCCTGTAACCGTCTTACTATCAAGTTACATTCATGAAATTTGAGTAACAAACTGGTAAATATCACAAAAATCAATTCATGTACTCATTTTATCTGATAGTTGTGATATGGATTTGGGTACTTAGTAATTTCCTTTAAAGTCCAAGAATATACTTCCCCCCAATAGTATATCACACAGTTTTTAACTGTTCTTTACGTTAAATAAAATAAGTTGTATTGGCATGCCATTAAAATTCAAACCTTGTCATCGCGTAATCGTAAACCCAATAAAACGCTCAAATTGTGGCTGTTATTGATCTATGTATTGTGTATTGGGCATTTTGGATCCATAGTCCAGCTATGCCAGCCAACTACCTCACGCCTGGGATATGCGCTATTTTATTTATGAAATAAATTAGTGTAATTGCACATTGAAAATATATTTCGGTACCAGCAGCGTATAAGCGACTGACAGTTCTCTCGCCACGTGCTGACGTACGTCATGTGGCCTGCTCTGAATTAATCACATAGCGAAGATTTGTTTACTTTCTTGCAGCCAGCGTTCAGCGTTGCCGCTCATTGACTCCACGCAGTCGCGGAGGCGATAAGGTTCCGCTGTGGCGAAGTTTATAAACATGATATCAAGAAGTGTCAATAATTGTTAATGTTTTGAGGTTTCATTTATCTGTTGTTTAAATGGTGCCATGTGCGCAACAGCGCGACGAACAGTCAGTCGCTTATACGCTGCCGGAACTGTATACTACTCCCTTTTCCACACATACAGCGACATATTAGGGAGTTTGAGCACCCTCGAATGTCAAAGCACTATCGGTCTTCTGCGCATGCGCAGCTCGTTTCGCATCACTTTTGTGTATCTGCGCATGCGCAAAAGATCGATAGTGCTGTCCGCTATGGCGTGCACAAACTCCCTATTAATAATTCTGAAACGGAAAGTACAACTCAATTGAGTTCTACTTTTCATTAAATTGTGAAAAAAATGATTGCGAAATCACTTATAATATTCTGAATCATAATTAGTAATGTGATGGTAACGATTTAATATTATTAATTTATTTTAATAATGCTTGTCATGCCTTTCAAAACTAAGAAGGCTTTGAAAGTTTTGAACATAATATGAATGTTATCTCCTATAATTTAAATAATTTATATTAAATGCTTGATAAAAATTATATTGATGATATTATGCCAAATGATATTAAAAGTAACGATACTTGCAAGTCGATAATAAGGAACTTTAGATATTGTTCTATTCTTGGTATCGATTCAGTATGGTATTGAAATCCATGGTGGAAATCAACTATATATGAAATCCGAGGGAGTTATTGTAACATTTCCAATACCGTACGTTTGATTGTGTATCACAGCAGACTGCAAAATCCCCAAAACTAGTACAAGACCTCTCCAAGAGCAGCACAAAAAAGTCTTTCCGACTAGTACACCCCTCATTGAATCAAGTACCGCAATTTGCACAGTGTGAAGAACAATATGCTGTGTAACATGAACCATTTATTGAGCCATTGCGCATGCGTGAATGTTACGATAGAGTTAATCCCAAAATTATTGTGTGTACTCGTAATTATGTGATTGCAAGTCGTACCTTGTACGATATGTCACGTGACGCCTAAGCGAGAACTATCTCGTTTAAGAAGTTTGTTCCCATATGTGGCTACATTATAATAATGCCACTTAACATTGGTGGGCTGCTCTCGTCGGACGAAAGCGAATCAAGAGAATGAGTCATTACGGGAATTTTGCGTTAGCGGCACTACATACTTCCATTTATCGCAGATTTAGAATGATCCTGTTGCAAAACGCTTTTCATATTTCAAGCAATGCATGTCACGAACGAGTAGTTGCTTCCAAAGTGCGTGATGATACGTTAAGAACGTCGTTTTCTGATAAGCTGTGCAGCAACCCTCTGCCCACGTCCGCATCCCTGCAAGTCGCCCCGCTGCCGAGGCGGAGTGGGAGCGGAGGCAGAGGCGGCGGGGGCGCGAAAGACGTTGGGTAACGCTCGCCGGCGCTTCCCGCGCTCGCATAACGGCCATAAAGGCGTCGCGACGCCGTAACACGCCCCCCTCCGCACCCCTCCTCTTCTCGCCACACGCGCGAGGCCGACAACTCATCCCCGATCACGCAGTGCTCTGGCCCCTCCTCTGCTATTTCATTTTCTTTCGTCAGAGCAATAACGTGACGTGTGAGGAAAATGTATAATCTGCGTAAGTTGTTTGAGCTCCAGGAGCCCTATTTCACACTTTTACTGAACATTAGTTAAATGGCGAATAAAAGTATCATCAAAGCATGGTTATAAAATTTGAAAACTGCAAATTTTTGCTCCAGAGTAATAGAAACTTATTTGCTGAGGTAAACGACGTACATAATTAATTTTTATATAGTTGTGCTACCAAAATAGTAATCCATGCCTCGGGCATCTCAACATTTGCTCAGCTGATCAAAGAAACTGGACGAAAAACCTGATCGAGGTGGAAGACATTGACCCAGAAGCTGAAGTACATTACTTGTTACAGGCATAGCCTTTGCCAGGCATAGCCATACGCTGCTGGCATAAATGATAACCGATACATTCATTACTATTTTTTAAGTTAATATTACTTCCTTTTTTTGAATCTTTGTTTGTGTAGAAACAGTTATGTCATTTGGCAATGAGTTGTGAAGTAACGTACACGTATTATACGTGGATTTTGAGAGATGTTGGAAAGGACTGTTGCTGTTGTATCCATTCTGCTTTTAAATTGCTTCTTAGCGTTATCTTCAGCGGTTTCGATGCTGTAATGATTAGTATATAAGACTGTTGTAATCACAGTTCGCGGAATCGAAGCAGTAGATTCGATGATATAGGTTAACGTGTGGTTTATCTTTAATGATGGAATATATATGACTTTGTTTTATGTAACAAATAATACATTTCGTATTGTACTATTTGTTTTAAAATTTAGCTACCAATGAACGACGTAGCTCTTGAGCTCTTTAAAAAAGAGAGAAAGATCTTAGTCAGGGATAGAAACTCTTCAATTTGAGTAACCGACATTACTCAGTTCTAAAACAAAAAGAAATTGGAATGTGTTGTGTGTTAAATAAATCAAGGTCAATATAATTCGTCTATGAAGCCATAGATTTATAGATTAAATTAATATTTTTAAAGATTTATAAAGAAGAATACTTCACTTTTCCGACGCAAGGCGTACAGAATGTTTCATGTCGCGGATTTGTAGCTTGCAAGAAAACACCAACCCTCCGTGACGCACCTGAGCTAAATTCCAGAGACAGTCACCACCCTAGTAATAGCTCCGTTCGTTACTACACAGAAATGTGGTTCGTTATAGATGGAAATGTGGTGACAGGCCTGACCCCGAACACAGTCATTGCGAAATAAGCGAAACGCCATTTGTCTGGAAGGGAGATCATTAGATACTAAACGGCAATAAACGACCTCGGCAGTAGCACGCCGCTGAATAACTAACAGACTTTTTACACAACGTGAAGCATCTTCGCACTTTCGAGCCTCTGCCATGGTGGAAATACATGGGTCAGTTCCTCTGGCGCACCGATTTTTGCTCGTTCTGCGCAACACCAGCCACACGAACCACGTGAAATCGAATAGGTTACTCAGGACATCTAATTTTTAAGTGTTACGGTATTTACGAACGATATTTTACAAAACGTAACTATACTGTTATTTGTAAATGCACTGAAAGAATTAATACTTTGATTCTATTCCTTCTTTGAGAAATTACCCTTTCGAATTTCGTTTATTCGCGTTGAATAGATTTGGCTGCAAATATTTCCCAAATAAAAAAGTAGAAGGTATATAAATAATATTTCGATTTGTAGGCCAACGTATACTGAATCTAATTATTCTTATTCTATAATGTTAGAACAACACAGGGTTGAGTAATTGTCTACAAACGCGAAAAATGGCGCACGGTGTAAAACAAAAACGAACGCCATTTGTAAACCAGGTATAATAAAAAAAATAAAGATGTTTTCGAAGAGCCAAAACATAAGGAAATTTATGTACAAAATATGAGATGATTCGAGATGGTAGAGCGACCAATTTATTAATTTCTGGGCCACTTAAAATTGACTGACCTATGGAGAGCGAGAGGTGTTGAGGAACATTTTGAAAGTGGTACAAAGTGACAATTTTCAACAGTAACCATCCATAAATAACACAATGAACGTGTGAAAGATGCAATATTTAAATGAAATGCTTCATAAATATGTTTCAATGTCTTGTAATGAAGTGATAATTTTGGTATCTGGCTGCATTCAAAATTCCCGCTAGTATTGTAACGTAAACTGATGTATGAAGCTCACAGGCAATTTGGCACTTTTATCGCATGCAAATCGATCACTCGGTCATGCTAAATCGAATTTGTTCCTAATTGTAGCAACAGTGTGTCTTCCTAACTCTTTATTCCCATGATGCAACACGATGTACGTGGCATTAATCTGTAAATACGCTAATAGGTGTAGTTATTAAACAATTGTATAATAATAAAACTATATACAGAGGACATATCACATACATAATACATACCACTACTAAGCAAAAGAAGATATCATTAAAACGTGCGCTTAGTTAAGCTACAATTACGTCCAAGTAAGACACGGGGCCATCTCAGCATTTGCTCCATCTATCAAGGGAAACTGTACGGAGAACCTGGTCTCTATGAGGATCATTGACAGAGAAGCTGATGTTCAGTACTTGCTAAGTGCCTAATAGTGGTTTTTATAATTATGGCTGGAAATGTGTTCCCACCGTTGAAGTAATTTTTGGCAAAACCCAGTGATTGGCAAACAAGGGGCAAGGCCTTACCGTCGGGGCGGCTGAGGTCGGCGCGCAGCGTGTAGGGCTTGCTGTAGACGGCCTCGGTCACCTTGCGGCCCTTGTCGAGCAGCTTGAGCGACACCACCGACGTCTCGTTGCGCGCGTTGCGGAAGCCGGCCTTGCCGCACGTGATCACGTAGAACTTGTCGTCGGCCAGCTCCAGCGTGCGGTGGATGCGCACCGCCACCGGCACCGACCGCTCGTCCGTCTCCTGCAACAGCAAGGGGGCGTTTGCCCATTCACACCATCTTCATTCCACATTTCCGGCGATTTTAATGCCTCTGGGGAATTTTTATCAAGCGATAAATTGAAGGCTGGAAATAAACAAGTATTACATTGTTACCGCGAACAAAAGGCAGGCTCCATTTTCGCCTTGTCATGAGTGCGGAGTTACAACAACCAACAGTTACATCTATTTGTTTTCACATTTAACTCAAAGGGCGCACTTTAAAATGAAATAACATAAATATAATAAATAACAATAATACATAATAATAATAATAAAAATGAAATGTGAAATAATCTAGTTATCCCTCAACATTTGCGAGAGTTAGGCTCCCAAAAAGCATTGCAAATCCGCGAATGTTGAAACTATCTTTTAATGAAGAAAGGTGAATTAGGTTCTTGGTTTTCGACGAACTATTTAAAAAAGAAACAAATTTGACAAACAAGTCATACTTGACATCATATTTCAATATTATAAATTTTATTATTGTTACAATTCGTGCCCCGATCCGTCTCTGAGTCCATCCTCTGAATGAAACACATGTTATTTTCGGAACCAAAAATCAGGAGTTTTCATTATCTTATTCGCCAACACGTTCTCTGATCCAAAATATTAAAATGGGCAAACTACATAAAACAAACTTGAAAAAATCAACTAATAGACGCAAATAAAAGACTTAGTTGGATACAGATCTCGGCTTGACTATTATAACAAGATGTAATTTCATCTGCTTTTCGCGAACTTCTTACTGGTGACTTTTACAACATTTTAAATTAATTATTTCTAGAATTGTAGATGTTGGTAAGGGTTAATTGAAACTTCCTCATATACGATAATTAGTTTATTAGAGTTAGAAAAACGCAACCTTTCCTGTTTATAGGCGGCCATTTCACAGTAAAGTCTCTTACTGAGAGAAGAGCTCAATTTATGAAGGTAAAAGGTCGTTTCTTAGGCCTAAGGAAAAGTTGTTATTTGAAGGTCCATCGCGTATATTATTTTAGTGCATAACATCGCTACCTTACGCGTGGTGCTAAACCTCCGTAATAATTGTTGCAGCAGAGGATATCAACCTCTGTCGGAGGAGACCTTCCCCGTCACTCGCCCGCCCCCTAATTCGCACCCTGACTCTCGAGGTCGTCCGACTGAGCGAAGCGAAGTGAAGCGGGGCAGAGCGGATCTCCGCACGGACGGGGCCGGGGTTCGAAGCCCGCGCCTTAAAAGGCGACTCGAGGCCGCCGCGGCGCGCCGGGCCTGGGTGGGCGGGGAGAGCACGCGGGGAGGACTGGCTGGCGATTCGCTGTCGAAGACTCGCGTGCTGGGCTCTGACTCGTCGGTGAACGTTGCTTCTAATACGCACTAAACATTTTTAGTTTCTCTTATACGTAGGCAGTATATGAATCTCGTATAATGTTATGAAATGCTGCAAAAATCGATTTCAAGATTTTGACAGATACACAAGTTTTCGGGGTTCGTAATACCAGAAAATGTTATCTTCAACATCTGCCCGTACGTCTGTGTCAAGAGTGAGAATATTTACCTAAAAGGATATCGT